CCACTAAAATTTCCCTTGAGAGAACCAACTGCTAAGCAATATGTTGTTATGTATGAACAGTGCTCTCCATGGAAGCTGTATTAAAGAAATCACATTCAATCTTCCTGTTGAAGTGCGAGTGGTGCCTACACCAAGGGGAATAGTACAGTTTATTCTTACTTTATATAAAGATGCTTCGCCACCTCCAGGGCTAAAACCCAGGGCTCCACATTTCGAGGAGGAGTATTTTGGCTAAAATTAAATAGACTTGGAACAAGTGCAAACCAAAGGCTCCCGGCTCAGCAGGAGGGGAGGTAAGTCCCGGTGGGCTCTGGGCACCGCGTCCTCCCAAGCAGCTTTGCCCCAGCACTCGCCTGCAGTCAGCAAATCTACTGCCAGCACAGCTACAAATCCCAGACGAGCCCATGAGGATTGTTGTTCTAATTAACTAATGAAGGCGTCTCCTGTGGGGAAGATGGATAATCTGAGCTGGAGGCTTCCTCCCTGTTTTGGAGGGGACCTGGAGCAACACCCAGCTCCTCTCAAGGGACCTCATAAGCATTAGTACACATAAGGATTGGGATGCAGTCTCTGCTGCGCGGAGGTGCCAAGTGCTCCCAGACACTGAGCATCTCCCTACACTCCGCCTGCAAACAAAATTCAGTATCTCAGACGCCACTGGACCCTGCCCCCTGCCCAGTGGGTCCACAGGCAGCTTGGCTGCTCTCATCCCTCAGGCTTCACTTCTATCTCAACCTGTCTGCTGCAACATGGAGTTTTGTTCAGGCTAATCATATGAGACAAATTAATGGCTGATGAGGGTGAAGTCTGTGCAGGATCTCCCTGAGCCATAGCCAGGCACAGTACAAGGAGGATCCACTTCAAAGCAGGGAGCCACTTCATTAAAAAAGTGAACTACAGCTTTTGACATCAAGATAAACATCCTGATACACTTCAAAGCAGCTTGCTCTCTTTGTCCTTAGACACCCTCTCCCCCTTCACTCATTTTGGAGTTAGAGTTTTGCCTAACCCATCCCATGCTGTATCCCAGCTGGGTGATTGTTGTTGGGGGCAGATGCCTGGTGCTGCTTTGCAGCATGTGAGACCTTCAGGGCATGACGATGAACCCAAATGCTCTGTCACTGTCTTCTGGCCTGCCTATGAAGGGTTAAGAGTTGCTGGTGAAAATTACTTCATTTCATTGAAAAGCATCATGGTTTTAACAGAAAGTACAACAGAGAAGTGCCCAAGGACTGACTGGGGTGCCTCCATGCCCAGAGGTGTCCGTCCCTCTGAGCACCCCACTGGCAGAGGCTGCAGACCCACCTCTGGCAGCAGACTGGCTGTTCAGCAGCCTGGGGGAAAGCACTGAGTTGCAAATGGCAACCACGTGCACAGGGAGAGGCATGAGGAGGCAGGAGCTGTGTGTGCATGGGGCGCTGATGGGAGTCATGCTGCACCCTGATTTACCCCATGGTAAACCTCTCCTTCAGCATTTCGAGTATTTTGCAAAAGAGTCAGAGTCAGGGGACTGTTCCTAATGCCAACACCCAGTGCTTTTGCTGCAGATGCGGGTTTTAGCAGGGTGGCCATCAGAGCTGGGCTGCAGAGTGAGCTGTAGCCAGGGCGTCTGTGTGCCCCTCATCAGGTCACCCCAGGGCTTGCGGCACCCTTTTGGGGCAGGAAAGGGGTGACAAAGGGCTGGTGCAGTGGGTAAGCTGCAGGACTGAGCGGCAGGAGCAGGCAACCACAGGACACAGCCCAAAGCTGCTCTTGGGGCAGTCATGTGGGTCACACTACCAGTGCCTCTCTGCTTTGTGGGACTACGAGGACAAAGGAGTCACTGCCTGATCCACTGGCAGGTAAAAACACTTTATTATTTCAATCCCTCCAGACATTACATACATGCTCTGTGCTGGAGCAGGCCATGCAAGGAGAAGATCAGGAGAGTGGTGTTGCTTTGACTTGTTCCAGAGCAGGATAAATCCAGAGGAAGATCCTCCCCCAGGCTCCCACTACCGCAGGGCTCTGCTCTAGCCACCCTGAGGTCGCATGGCTGCCGAGGTGCGGGGGGCTGCTCGCAATGTTGCAGCTGCCCTGTTTCAAGCTGTTATCTAGGACGGAGAGGGAAGGGGCGGTATGTCCTGGCTGCCCAGAGCTGGACCGCCACAGTCCCCAGGCCACCAGACGGCAGCACTGAAATCCTGCGGAGACCTGCTGCTGCTTTCACCTCCCATTTCCAGCCTGGAGAATGCCTCGCGTGCCCCAAACTGAGCATGCCTTCCTCTCTCCAGGCTTGCCCCGTGTTCTCCAGGCTGTCACCCCAGACCTGCAACCCTGGGCACGTAGCCTGTGTCTGGAGTGGGACGGACCTCGCCAGGAACAGAGTTTGTTTCAGGTGGAGCCCCCCAGGAACAGGCAGTGGCGTTGGCTATCTCAGACCCGTCCCCGCCTGCATCCCCTCGGTGCCAGCCCCGGTTCTACTTGCTGAAACCGCCCGGTGCCTGCACCCCAGGGCTGGGGGCTCGCTGGGAAGGGGCTGGGGTTCAGCCCTGCCCCACTGCCCCTCTGGTACCCCCCTGTGTCCCAGCTGGGGGGGCAGGGGGCATCCCAAGACGTGCTGCACGGGCAGGGAAGAGAGCAGCGTGTGCAGTGCGAGTGCCACAGCGTGCCCCTGGCAGCACACCCCACGCCAGCCC